TTTTTTTAAGACAGGGTCTCTCTCTGTCACCCAGGGTGGAGTGCAGTGGCGCCATCAGAGCTTACTGCAGCTGCCATCTCCTGGACCCAGGTGACCCTCCTGCCTTAGCCTCCCCAGCAGTTGGCTCCACCACATCAGCTAATTTTTTAGCTTTTAGCAGTGAGGAGGTCTCATTATGTTACCGAGGCTGGTCTGGAACCCCTGGCCTCAAGGCATCTGCCCACCTCTGCCTTCCAAAGTGCTGGGATTACAGACGTGAACCACCGCGCCAGGGCTCTTATGATTTTTATGTAATGTAATACACCATGAAATTTGTGCTCTGCCTAGTCCAGTCTGAGCAGGAGTTCCCTGATACTCTGGAAAACATTTAAAATCATTCCAGTAGGCCGGGTGCGGTGGCTCACGCCTGTAATTCCAGCACTTTGGGAGGCCGAGGCGGGTGGATCTCGAGGTCAAGAGATCAAGACCATCCTGGCCAACATGGTGAAACCCCGTCTCTTAAAAAAAAAAAAAGAAAAAGAAAATCATTCCAGTAAAAGAAAAGAAAAAATCATTCCAGTACTCCATCCATTCATCCCTGCAGCACCCAAATGGAAATTTTGCGTTTCAGACAGGGCACTACCCTTAGAATAGTGGGCTTCCCCAGCAGCCTGGTGAACCACGACACTTCTGAGTTTCATGAAAAGAGGGCAGACATCTGGCCAGAGCTGAGAGGCAGGAAGTGGATCACGGTGCCCTCCTCCCGTACTCCAGCTTGGATTACTGAGGCCAGGGCCCTGGCGCTGCAGAAAAGGTGCATGACTACTTTAAGGCTACTCACTCTGTGACTCAAAGGGCCGGGTGGAGGCTGGAACTCAAGGACCTCCCGGGCCTGGTGAGCCCCCACCCCGCGCCATGGGCGGGGCTCCCGGGGTCGCCTAGGCAACCGGCGAGTGCCACGCCCGAGCCCAGAGCCCCCGAGGGGAGGAGGGAGCGCGAGCGATTAGACGTCTCGCGGTGCTATGGCTACTTCCCCAACACCACCCCCGACTCCTCCCCGCGGAAGTGCTTGTCGACATTCTCGATCGCTGATTGGTCCTTACGCTTCAAGGGCGGAGTCCCTGGCAGGCGCGGTGCGTAGTTCCGGCTGCCGGTTGACATGAAGAAGCAGCGGCGGCTAGGGCGGCGGTAGCGGCAGGAGTTGGGGCTTGCAGCGGGCCTCTGGGCTAAGAGCGGGACGCGGCCTAGAGAGGCAGACAGCGCAGTGGGCTGAGAAGGAGGCACAGCAGCCGCCCTGGCCCGTCATGGAGATGGAAAAGGAGTTCGAGCAGATCGACAAGTCCGGGAGCTGGGCGGCCATTTACCAGGTGCGGGAGCGCCCCGGAGCGTGGCGGGCCCTTCGCTTAGGCCGCGTGAACATCCCCCTCAGGTTCCCAGGCCCCAGACTCCCTCTGGGTCTCGCCTCCGCCTGGCCCCTACCGCTTGAGGATTCGATGGGACAGCGACGCACTGCGCCCCCCGCTCTCTTTGTCCCCCTGGTGGGCCTGTTTCTCGCCGCGGCCTTGGAGCCCCCTTCAATCCCCCACCTCCCTCCTATTCTCTAGCCCTGGTGACTTCTCAAGCCGGGGGGCCGCCGGTCTGTGCTCTAAGCGCGAATCCATCGCACCCCGACCCCGCCCCCTGCCTGTCCACTCTTTGTCCCCCAGGGTGATTTAGCACCCCCACTGTTTCCTTTTCTGGACTGGACCACCTCAGACTCCCTCCCTTTGTCTCCCTGGGGGAAAAGGTTACTCACCTCCCTTCACGTTTCCTTTCCCCTAGTCTCAGTGTGCGTCGAGTCCCAGGGATGACAGTCCCCTTCCCACTTTCTGTTCATTCATTTATTGGATAGGAGTTGGCGAGCCTGTTCTGTACTGGGCATCGCTTAGGCACTGGAGACTGTGTCTGCTAAACAGGACAGGCAAGATCGTAGTCTTAGTGAAGCGTAGAGTCGAATAGGGCAGTCAAACACAGGAGCGAGTAATTCAGTTACAGGTGCTGTGAAGAGAATGACTTCCTAACGGGGTACAGGGTGACTGCATAGCCAGTACAGGTGCCGGCTGCCTTAGAGACAGGGATCAGGGAAGGCCTGTCAGAGGCAGAGACATTTGCTTTGTGAGCTGAACCAGGAGGAGCAGAAAGCCACGAGAATATGGGGCTAAAGAACCTTCTGGCCAGGAGGCCTGCGGTACCCACTCCATTGGAGCCATGTTACTATCTTTTCGGGCAGGGAATCGGGAAGGTTAGTGTTTTAACCCTCTCTAAAATAGCATCTTTTCTCAATGAGCAGCTTAGTCTTCGGTCATGGCTGAGATGACCTTGTCTTAGGAGTCTTCATCTCTTTGTGTGTTAAAAAGTTAGGAAGGTAGGATTTCTTGTATATCTATAAAACAAATAGTTAAAAACACAAAGAGATTTTCCTTTCATAAGCAGCTAAATCCTCTGAAGAAAATACGTGCTCCCAATTAAATGTCACTGCGGGGGCTGTGAAGATTAAAACCACACTTGCACAGTATCTTAAATTAAGCAATGTACAGAATAGAGAGATTTTGTTACTTGTATAAAGGGAGAAGGCCGTTTATTCTGTTTTCAGCTTATAGGCTCAAAAGGCAAATTGTGAGATCTATCAGCTGTTTTGAGCACCGCTTAAAAAGGAAAAAAGCTTTAAGCAGTTCTGTGGTATGCTTGACTAACAAAAGCCTTTTTTTTGGCAGCCTTGATTTTCATGTGGATTTACATAAAGCTTATTTGACGGGATTCTTTTTATTTGGACTGTAGTGTGTATATTAGTTTCTGCTAGACTAATATTTCTAACCACTGTAATCTATATGCTAATACATATGATCAGTATATAAAACTTGTATATCATATTTGGTCTCTGAATTAGTTGAATGAATCTTGCAAGTGACTGAGAATGTGTTGACAGATTTTCTGCATCAGTTTAATGCAGTTGAGTCTTACGTGGCTTTAAATGAAAATTGTTGATCTGAAGTGTTGGTATTGATTATGGTACACCCCATCACAGGTGGAAGCATTGTGGAAAAATCTTTTCTCCACCACACTCATGCTTGGCTAATTTTTGTATTCTTAGTAGAGATGGGGGTTTCAACCATATTGGCCAAGCTGTTCTCGAACTCTTCACCTCGTGATGCTCCCGCCTCAGCCTCCCAAAGTACTGGTATTACAGGCGTGAGCCACTCTGCCCCATCTGTTTCTTACAGTTTTAAGGCAGGGTGGCCTGACCTGTCACCCAAGCATTGTTAAAACTGTTAAGCATGCAACTATCATGGAGTGTGTCAGTTTTCAATTAATTTCCTTCATTGTTCTTAAGTTTTTCTGTCACAAACCCCACAAGGTAGTCAAGGTGTTGAGATTTTCCCTGCTTCTTAATGGATTACCACATTCCTGGAGGTAGTTTCTTTCGGTCTTAGAAAATTGTCACGGTGGGCTTTTCTCACCTCCATTGTATGGATATTTTTCTTCTCTAAAATCTTGAAATCGGAAGCTTTTCTCTTTTTAAGAGACGGGGTTTCACCATGTTGGTCATGGCTGGTATTGAACTCCTGACCTAGTGATCCACCAGCCTCGCCTCCCAAAGTGTTGGGATTACAGGCGTGAGCCACTGCCCCCGGCTGCTTTTCTCCTTAAGTGTAAAGGTAGCTCTTTGTCATACAACTGTAGTATTTTCTAAAGCCGTTCAAATGACCTTGAGTCTAAAGTGGCTAATTTTCCAAGGTATGTATCACTTTACCAAAACGATTATTTTTCAAAGATTCAAGGAAATGTATTTACAATGGGCAGAAAATGGAAGTTTAAAAAAATTAATATTTTATTGCACGTCAAAATGAGGGCAGCCTTATACAAAGACATAGTTTGAGCTTGCCTTGCCTATTGTGATTAGAGAAGCAATGTAATTTTTGCTTACAACTTGGTAAACAGGTCAGTTACTCTTATTTTCTAATTAAAACAAAAAGATGTAAAAACTCAAAAACTATTGGGAAAACTTTGAAATGCTGAGGAATATGGCAGCTTAGAAAACAAATTTTTCAGGCAGAGATTCTGTGCCAGGTCAGTTTGTTAAAGTAAGCATAACTGTATTTTTAATCTTTAATACTAATAAATAGCGTAGATGCTAATAAGCATTTAGGTCTATAAAAAGTCAGCTTTGCTAGTGCATATAGATAGCTTTAAACATTTTCTAGCATTTAAACACTTTAAAATCATCCAGTTGTTTGATTTGGCCTAGCTGTCTAAAAGGAGAGAGTGAGCCCAGGTGAGGAAAAAAGATTGGTTTTATGGAGGTTTTATGGAGCTAGAATGAGAGGAGAGAGGAGAGGGTTGAGTGAATGGAAATAATAGCTCATGTGCTGCCTACATCTGTAGTTAAAGAGGGGCTGGGTCAGGTGTTTTGCTTGTTTTCTCTTCTCAATTCTTTGATTCTCTGACACCATTCACTATATTTCAGTGTGAATGATTTGATTGTTTCAGATAAAGGAGATTGCAATAGTAGCTTGTGACATGAAGGCAAGATTTATTCCATGTTAGAGGCAGGCTTTATAAAATGGGCCACTCTTCCAATTGATGTTTGTTTTTATAGCTGTTTTTGTTATGAAATATTACCTAAGCCCTGACTAGGTTAAAACCATGTAACAATGGTTCACTAAAATTCCTTACTGATACACAGCTTATGTTATATTCCAAAAAGATGAATATTAAAATTTGTCAATAACATTTATTTAAATATCATTTTCTTCAGAGGAAAAAAAAACCCTATTTTGTGCAGAAGAGAAATATCTATACACTAAAAAAAAAAAAAATTAAAAAAAAAAAAAAAAAAAAAAAAGACTAACGGAAATGACGGGAGAGACTGGGACGTTCTAGTCATCTTCAGTGACCCATTAGATCTAAACGTTCTCGTTTAGCCCTGGTTTGAGTGAACTAAATTTAGGCGTCTGATCTGTGCTTTGGAAATGGTGTAAATACCTTTGTAATTGTCTAGGCTGATACTAAATTAACTGGGAGCAAAAGTAGAAATAGTGGAGGGAAGAACTTTTTGCTATTGTTATTTGACATCACTGGCATATTTATAGGAATACTTTGGTGTTTTTGGAAGTGAGTAAACCACACCAGATGGTTCCGAAAATTCAGCTGTGGGGTAATGGTAATGCCGCTTTTTCTTAGCTGCAGCTTATCTGCCGCTGCTCTTCCTGCGTTTTGCATTTTATCACGAATAGCTCCTCAAAATCTAAAATACCTGGTATTGAATAATGTAATTGAATGTATACTGAGTTTCACGGTAGAAACGAATAAGAAATTTCCTATGGAGGTTTTTTGACTTAACTACTGAAATTACGACCTTTTCTTATGTGTTTCTTTCCCTTTTCTCTTTGTTAAAGAAACTGTCTTCTGATCTTTTAGATTACAGAATCCTTTTGGCAATTTTTGTTCCTTTCAGTGCTTTTTCTTTCTTTTTTGCAAATAGAGATGGGCTTTTGCTGTGTTGACCAGGTGGGTCTTGAATTCCTGGCTTCAAGCAATCCTCCCACCTTGGCCTCCTGAAGTTGGGATTGCAGGCGTGAGCCACTGTGCCTGGCTTGCAGGTACTTTTTCTGAGGCCTGCCTGAGCCTATATATATTTTGTACAATTTGGCATCCCTCCCTACAGTGTTTATGCTAATTTGTTTCTGGTAACAGCTAATCCTGGCAAATAGACTGGGCGTGTTCCTTTATGCTGCCCATGTTCAGGAAAATTGGAATTCTAGCTGGGTCATTGTTACTAGATGATGTAGTCTGGCACCAGCCATTCCGTGTGCACATTTTGTGTATCCAGGAGGGCTGGGAACTTTGGAGTAGTTGGTGATTCCCTCTGCCACATTTCGTTGGTTGGTCACTATGGTGTCCTTCCCACCACATGAGAAGTCTAGGTTCTCAGATGTTGCTTATAAGCCTGCAGTGGTTTCTAGTTTCACACTGCAGAAAGGAGTGGAACCGGTTACCCATTAATATGGCCCCTCAACAGTCACGCCACATTCCCCTCTCCTCCACTGATATACTTCATATCATCACTAGAGTACTTAAATGTTCTAAAACCAGATCTGAATCCGTCACCCCTCTGTGTACCTACTTCTGATGCTTCCGTAACTTGAACTTGTAAAGTTCAAAATCCTCCTTACCGTGGCATCCAGCTTCTGGTCCTTCCCTCCCATGTGGCTTCCATTCTAGCTATACCAGAAACGGCAGCGTTCTCCAAACTCATCCCCACCCTTCGTTCCTCTATACCATTGCTAAGCACTTTGTTGAGGATGCCTCTCCCATTCAATCTAGCTTG